AGAAAACTTATAATGTAAATCATATACGGAACCAATTTTGATGCACCAGATGCGCATTTCGACAAATTATGTCTCTTCAGTGATGCTGAAACCGAAACGTTGGAAACCCAAAATATTTAAATAAAAAAACTTGGAAGATCTGAAAAAGATGCCAAAAACTAGAGCCAAATACTTCGAAGGACCAGAACTATGCATGAGGGAGATAATCCTTTTTTTTTTTAGCTCACCTGAGCTGAAAGCTCAAGTGAGCTTTTCTGATCACATTTTATCCGGTGTCCGTCTGTCTGTCTGTCTGTAAACTTTTCACATTTTCGACTTCTTCTCAAGAACCACTGGGCCAATTTCAACCAACCTTGCCACAAAGTATCCTTGGGTAAAGGGGATTCAAGTTTGTTCAAATGAAGGGCCACGCCCAAGTTTTACATAGAAATATATAGGAAAAATCTTTAAAAATCTTCTCAAGAACAACAAAGTCATGATGAGTCATATTTATATGGAAGCATCCTCAGGTAGTGTAGATTCAAGTTTGTTCAAATCATGACCCCCGGGGGTAGGGCGTGGCCACAATGGAGGATCAAAGTTTTATATAGAAATATATATATAGGAAAAATCTTTAAAAATCTTCTTCTCAAGAACAGCAAAGCCATGATGAGTCATATTTATATGGAAGCGTCCTCAGGTAGTGTAGATTCAAGTTTGTTCAAATCATGACCACCGGGGGTAGGGCAGGGCCGCAATGGACTATCAAAGTTGTACATAGAAATATAAAGGAAAAATCTTCTTCTCAGGAACAGCAAAGCCCAGATTGTTCATATTTATATGGAAACATCCACAGGTAGTGTAGATTCAAATTTATTCAAATCATGACCCCCGGGGGTAGGGCGGGGCCACAATGGAGGATCAAAGTTTTACATAGAAATGTATAGGAAAAATTTTAAAAATCTTCTTCTCAGGAACAGCAAAGCCCTGATTGGTCATATTTATGTGGAAGAATCCTCAGGTAGTGTAGATTCTATTTTGTTCAAATCATGACCCCGGTGGGTAGGATGGGGCCACAATGGAGGATCAAAGTCTTAAATAGAAATATATAGGAAAACATCTTCTTCTGAAGAACTAAGCAAACCATGATTAGTCATTTTGATATGGAAGCATCCTCAGGTAGTGTAGATTCAATTTTGTTCAAATGATGACCCCCAGGGGTTGGATGGGGCCCATTGGGGGATCGAAAGTTTTACATAAGAACATATAGAAAAAATATTTCTTCTCAAGAACAGGAAAGCTATGTTTAGTCATATTGATATGGAAGCATCCTCAGGTAGTGTAGATTCAAGTTCAAATGATGACCCCTTGGATAGGGAGGAGCCACAATGGAGGATCAAATTTTTACAAAGGAATATATGGGAAATTTTTTTAAAAATCTTCTCAAGTACAATAAAGCCATTTGTTATATTGACATGGAAGCATCATCAGGTAGTTTAAAATTCAAGCCCCCCTCCCCCCCCCCCCTTTTCTATATTCAATACTGAACTGATTTGTGCTTCTGCCTAGCCAATGTGCTCAGGTGAGCGATGTGGCCCATGGGCCTCTTGTTTTAAAAATAACTTTCTAAATATTACCACAGGATTTAAATATATATCCGTATTTTTAAGCTAGTAAATTATATAAATTGTGGATATCAGACAATACATATACGATTTCGATACTAGATTCCAGAGTGAGAAAAAACATAAGTAAGAGTTACCATATTGCCCTTTTCATCATTTGTTTAATAAATTATTGACTAATTTTAGGAAATGTTAACCTTTTAAATATCTTTTTGCTAAATTATATTCTTTTTCGTAGATATAAGATAACATTTCTACGAAATATATACATGTACTTCTTTTACTGAAGAAATTTGATAAATGAACTATTTTGCAAAACACTATGGCGTCACTTGAGGTTGGAAAAACCGTAAGATCGCAGAGTTTAATGAAAAACTGAACGGTAAACGTTTTCTGCACAATTTTGAAGTTGTTTTAAGGAAAATAACTATCAAATCGAAATATATCATTTTAAAACGGATAGTCAGTCTCTTTATTAAATTTATGCATTGTATCGTATGAAAATACTTACTTACAACTTGGACTAAAACTTTCATAAATAATGCAAAAGACATTGTTTTGAAACAGAAGATAAAAATTAGGCTTTTAAGCAATATTTCTGTCATTTATGATTTTTCGATGAGTCTTTGTTTTAAAGTTAATTGTCCAGATGTGCTTGTAACGTAGTTATGACGAAATTTGTGGCCATTAGCGACTTTTGCATCGTGTATAAACATGCAATTTTCAGTCATATAAAGTTTTTGATTGACAGACTGAACGACAGGCTGTTGGTGTCATATTCCTAGCAAAGAACAAGGTATGGTAACGGCCGAATCTGGCCCCTTTTTTGATGTAAAAATCAGAACACAGTTAAAATTGTGTTTGTAGCTAAGAACTTAAAATGATGCTTGTTTTAAAACCAGCACTAATTTTGATGCAAAGCTTACACGGAGGCCACAAGAGGGTGCCGAAGTAGGACATTTTCCTAAGTTGAAAAGTGCCGAAATTCTCAGAAAAAATGAAGGAATCGGAATTTCCTGGTAATATGCACATCTACACATTGTGTCCTAAATATCTGCAAAGTTTGACCAAATTCTGTGCAGCGGTTTATGAGGAGTTGCCCTGACAAACTGTTCAACTCTATATTCAAGATATGGCCAAAATTCTAAGTTGAAAAGTGCCGAAATTCCCAGAAAAAATAAAGGAATCAGAATTTCTTAGTAATATGCACATCTACACATTGTGTCCTAAATATCTTTAAAGTTTGACCAAATTCTGTGCAGCGGTTTATGAGGAGTTGCGCTGACAAAAAACAGGACTGACTTACTGACTGACCGACTGACGGACGGGTCAAAAACATTATACCTCGCAACTTGTTGCGTGGGGTATAAAAAAATGCTGGCCTAAACGAGAAAAATTAGTACCATGGGAATTCCAACAAAGACCTGTACTCCAAAGACTACATAGACTTGAGGAACTTTGGCAAGTTTTATTGTTAACATCGGAGTTCTTAGAATCAAGAATCAGGTAACGAATCATAATTCCAAGAATCAGAATGATTTAAAATAAATTGAGTTTGTAGAAGACAAGGTGTGATAATTTACAAGTTCCTTCTTATTGAAGAAGCTGTTGTCTATGTTGTCAAAAAATGCTATTTTAATTTCATTTGTGAGGAATGGTTGTGTAAAGGGTCAAAAAGTCAGTCATGTTTTGATTCTATTGATTCTTGGAAACAAGAAATCCTTTCTGCAGATAAATTGTACATTACGTTCTCCTTTACTTGCTTGCCAGGAATGTTGCTCATGACACAGATAAAAGTGTTAGTAATCTACCCAATGCTGTGCAATAATCTTTAATCTTTGATTTACGTGAATACTTCTGATTCTATCTCGTATTCTTCAGAATTGTTCCAAGAAATGCAACCCCCAAAAATGTAGGGTTCAAAAAGAGCACAAATACAGAAGTTTATTACATTTTTCAATAGGGAAATAAAGTGATTTATTTATAAAATAAAAGTGATATTCTTTCATAGTGTGAAAGGATAACAAAATGATATTCTGTCGCAGTGTGAAAGGATATCAAAGTAAGTAAAAATGATTGGCCTGTCATACGATAGATGTAGTAACTAAACCATCTTGATAGAGACTACAACTTTAAATTTCCTCCCAAATATATTGCTAAATTCAATCCTACAATGCAGTTGCTAAGTTATGACATCTCAACCGGTCACCCATGATTTCACAGCCTATAACACTGTGTTAAGAAAAGACAGAGGCCAAGAGAAATGAGGAAAATTTAATAAATAGAAAATTTAATGTTTTGTAGTTGGACATGGAATTTATTTCACTCATGAGACAGGATTTTTAATTTTTTTTTTTTATATATATTTTCACTCGTGCTTCGCTCTCGTAAAAATACTGTATCAAAAATCCTGCCCCCATTGTGATATAAATTCCATATCCAACAACAAAACATTGAATATCCTCTATTTATTTTGTAATGAAACACTTTCATCAATACTATGTAACTGCCAAAGACATAAGTAAATGACTCTTTAGCACCAAATATTTAAATAAGCAGCCAAATAATTCTGCGTTATTATTGAAATCTGTTTGTGCTAAGTGTTTAGCAAGAACAAGTTTTGGCGAAAAATGCGCCAAAGTCTTGATTTTCTCTATTAGTAATAGTTAAACAGTATTCTTCCTATTTCTCATATGTAACCTATTTAAACCTATAGCCTTGAAATGACATGAAGTTTGAAATTATGAGTTTGAAAGACATACTTGTTTGATAAGATCAAGAATTTCTGATATCCTTTCAGCTAAAATAATATTTTTTTTTAATTAAAAAATATTTTTATAAAGTATGATTATGTACAGATGTCATATTTCATTTGCAAATATAAGTTTTGTCGAAATGATCAAAAGATGTTTTGGCATATTTACCAACTTGGATATCAATATTTCAATAATTCGTTTCCAGAATTTAGTTTTAGAACATTGAACTGAATATTGACATAAAATTTCGTTTCTAATTGTTTTATATTAATAACTTCCTAATATTTCTTTTTGTTACACTTTCTTACATTTCTTCCATTACTAAGATTTATAAGTATATTCATCACCTTTCATTTTCAAGTAAACACAACAAAACAAAACAAGATAAAATACGAGGAGTGAAACGGCATTTAAAGGGTGTTTAATATCGGTGGTTGGCGCACTATATAAAATTAGTATTGTCAGCGATGTTTTTATTTTAATTACCAGATTAAAACGGAAATATAACGTTACAAAATTTACAAACATAACAACTCTATGCTTTGTGGTACTAATTTTTGAAAATTCATGAATTTGACATCATAATTAGGAATTATATGACGTCATATGCATACGCACTTTCCTTTAGAAGTTTTCAAAAATGGCGATGTCAGGAGATAATGCATCGCACCAAATTGTCACTCAGTACTGTGTTAAACGGGGTATATGGCCCCTACCCATACAGGAAACGACAGGACGACACAAACGTGTTTCGGACACTGGTTTATACCTGGCAAATGGAGGTCAAGGATGGTTGTATTGGTCATCGATGGAAAAAGCTCTTGGTGTAGACTAAAATGACGGCAAACTGAATTAAAGTAAGGAGCTGGTCATCATAAGTGAGGAGCTCTGATTAATTACGCGAGATGTTAGGATCGTGATGGGGATGGGAAACTCTCAATGCAAAGATAAATTTCACAATCCTCGATGGCTGTGTTTGTGCAAGATGGATACCTCGGTCTCTAACTCAAAATTAAATGTAATGTCGAATTTTAATATCTGCTCCAAGACGCGTGATTTCCGAACAATTTCACAAACGCCACAAACTACATTTTGACGTCGCCAGTGATGCACCGATAGCCAATATCATAGTTTCTTTGATTTATTTACAGATATATTTTATTAATATTTTTGTAGTGTTAAAAAAATGTTAATTTTGGTGCATGCCAAATTTTCACTGAAAAGAATTTGTGAAATAAAACAAAAAATTGAAAATATTTGCGTTTTTCTGCAACAATCCTCGTAGACAGATTTTTAGACAAATAATATTCGGAAAAAGAATATTGGCGCCAGACATTATTTTTTTTTTATACAAATAAAATTTAATCTTTATTATCAATGATATTTTCTGATAGACTACAAACCAATGGTTCCTGAAGTCAGATTTTAAAAGTCAGAAGTATTTTAATGAGATACAGATATTTTTACACATCAGGAATGTTTAAATTAATATCTGCTTTTTAAAACATATTATTTTGATACAGATATACATAACGGGGATCTAGTAAATGTTCTATCAAAAGTGTATGTCTTCACTCCTTATGAAAATATTAAATCAAATACCAGGCTTTACACATCATAGGCAACTGCCTCTTCAATAAAAATGAAACTCACAAATTTTCTTATTTTGTCTTGTGTCATCTATAGACTTTTTAAAAACCATCCTGATTCTACATACAAGTACTCTGAGACTGATATGAAAAAAAGCCTGAGTTTCTCAATGACAATATATATGTAGTCTTTGCAGACCAGGTCTTTGAACAATCTGTTGGAATTCTAAACTTTATAATAAACATTAAGACGTCAACAATTCGATCGTCAACTTACCTTATTTATGAAGCAATGTACCATTATTACCTATTTATTAAATGTACAAAAATTTCTAAAACGAGACAGGCTACTGGCTAAAACGTTGATGATATAAGGGTATCAACATTCTCGTGTAAAGTCAACATTTCGCAAATTCTGTGTTTCATACAATCACCTTATTTGCAAATACAATATTTTTTTGGTCGAACACTGACGGCATGCTTAATCCTCCAGATGTTTTCAGAGGTGCTCACAATTTCTATGGTTTAATTGCACTTTTAAGCATGATTACTATTCGGTATCGTCATGTTTCAATTGATATCTACTATTATTAATGATGGCTTTTTTTGACACCAGAAAAATAATGGTTACTTCACAGAATCAAATAGAATGTGCTTCTCACAGACTTCCCTTGTCTAATTAGTTCAGTAATTGTAGACCGAATTCCCTTACTTTGTTGTGACTATATATATAAAATGAAAATGCTCAAAACGTGTCATTTACTTGTGTAATGAGCAGTATTATCTCCTTTACAAGTCGGCTTGGAGAAATGAATGTATGATTGTCAAATATAGCATATGTATATAAACTTTATTAGTTTAAGGAGCTAAACAATGTATATAAATTTCACTCAGCATTTACAGAGTTTCTCATGCTGGCCAGACGTCCGAGAGTTTTGAAGTCAAATTAGAAGTTCGACAAGGATGTTTGCTGTCACCATTCCTCTTTCTCTTGGTCATTGACTGGATCATGAGGACCACCACATCAGGCAGGAACAATGGTATACAGAGGACACTCCTGATGCAACTCGATGATCTCGATTTTGCCGATGACCTGGCTCTCCTTTCGCACAACCATAGTCAGATGCAGGATAAAACAACTCACCTTGCAACAACATCAGCAGGAACAGGACTCAAGATCAACTTGAAGAAAACAAAATTTATGAAGATAAGCACGACTCCCTAAACATCAGTTACAGTTGGTGGTGAGCCAGTCAGAATTGAGTCTTTCATCTATCCGGAGAGTGTGGTGGACAGATAGTGTGGCACAGACCGTGACATCAAGTCAAGAATCGGCAAAGCAAAAGCTGCGTTTACAATGCTAAAGAACCTCTTGGCCTCAAAGAATATCCGCATTATTATTAGACCGCGGATCCTCAACTCCAATTTTAAGTCCGTCTTACTGTATTGATCAGAGACATGGAGAACGACCGAAGATCCAGACATTTTACACCTGTCTCAGGCGCATCTTCAACATTCGATGACCTGAAAGGATAACAAATAAAAAAAACTATGGGGAAGAGTAGGGCTGGGACCACCAAACATACAAATCAGACGAAAGAAGTGGGAACTGGATCGGACACATCCTAAGGAAGCCACCATCCAGCTTTCCACATTCTTTTTCCACACGCCAGGCCCTGACCTGGAGCCCACAGGGCAAGAGAAAAAGGGGACGTTAAAGAAACACCTTGAGGCGTGACACGGAGGAAGAATTAAAGTTGCAGCCCAGAATCGTGTTCTTTGGAGGATGTCGTTGATGGCCTATGTTCCTCACGGAACGACAGGCCTAAGTATTGAAATATGGAGATAACGAACATTATTCAAAAGTCCATTCAAAATCAGAAATCAAAATCACAAATCAGAGCAAACATTGACCTCTAAAAAGATAAGAGGTAGAGTCAGGTGCCATGGAGGAGTGAGCCGACCTGTCACACCCGCCGTGTGCTCCTTAACATGATCGTAAAAAACGGAAAAGTTCGTAGATAATTCAGTGTGTAAATAATGGCCTACCAGTTAGTATTTTAAAAAAGTTCAGTCAACATTTGACTTAATGATAGATTTTATTTGCTGACGAGGTCATTGTATCGACCATAGAACTTGCGAAATGATCGATGACTTAAAACGAGACTGTTGATATTCTTGTTTCATCAACTTGTTTGTCAATAACTTGCATCGTTTTAGACATTGTACGTACGTAGCCTAGTGGTAGGGCGTTCGCTTCGTGATCGGGAAGCCCGGGTTCGATTCTCGTTCGTCGCGCAGCATTTAACATACGACGTAGACATAGGTAGAGACTGTTCCTTCGCCAATCGCCCAGCACTAGAAGTGAAAGTCAGGGGTCCTTTGGATGAGACCTTAAAAACTAACGGTAGGTGTTAGCATGATAAAGAACCTCCACTGCTCAATGGCCCTGAGTGCCGAGTATAGATTTAAAGCCCTTCACCAGCAAACGGTGACGTCTCTATATGACTAAAACATTTTCGAATGGGACGTTAAACAACATACAATCAATCAATTGTACGTAGAACATGCTCTTGAGTATCGAATCAACTGAGAGACATAAACCCAATATGCAGGTGATAAAGGTATATTGCAACACAAGTGAGGGAGTTGACTATCGAAAAGTTGAATTCATCACGTTTATCATAAAGCTGAGAGATATACACCCCCTATGCAGGTGATAAGGGTATATTGCTGCATAAGTAAGGGAAGTTGACGATTGAAAAGTTAAAGTCCTCACGTTAACGATTATCATAAAGCTCTGTTGTTAGATTACCATTAACGTCTTTTTGAGTTTTTCTAAAATATCCAAATATGACACAGATGTGTTAGACTCTATGGTATCTTTTTCAAGCTCACTGGGATATATTTATTGTTAATCGACAATACGTCGTCGATATAAATGTATCTAAATGTCGAGTTGAAGGCCACAGAAGAGATTTCTTTTTCTCATGTACAAGATTTTGAATAAATTCTGCTTCATATGAAACAAAAATAGGTCTGCTAATAACGGGGCGCAATTGGTTGGAAGACTTGTGTGTACAATCAGAATGTTTTATAACAAAATAAATTTGCAAATTACCAATGACAAGGAAAGCAAAGTTCCATTTTTATTGAAAAGCAGCTGTCAATAATGCCAAAAAGTCTGGACTTTAATTTATCGTGGGGAATGGTTGTATATAGAGTTGAAAAGTCGTAAGTTTTTATGTTATTAATTTTGGTAAAAAGTTTTGTTGTCACATGTGTTTTCCGTAAATACATTTTCCAATATCGTAAACACAGATTTTTTTTTCAACGGATACAATTATTTTAGTGGGTTGTTATAAAGTGAACATTTGGATTTGTTTAATTTTCTATTTTTTTTTTATAGTAATTAATACTTCTGGTGGTTCTCAATTACGTGTTATACTCCCGGTGGTAAATAAAATTTCAGCAATAGAAACGTGCAATCACTAAATAAGCGTGTGTGGACGCTGTCAATTAATTTGAAATTCCCTTTATTTGACTTTCATGAAAGCAATTTAAATACTACAGCTCAAAAACAGAAGTAAAAAGCCCAATTTACCCCCTCCCCCCGTAGACAAACCAATTCAACAAACAGAAAATAATCTTAGAATTTGGTAAAATGTCACAAAAATGTCTGAATATCCCTATATAGGCTGAAGAACATCTGAAATTTTCAACGACCTGAGTTATTGAAAACTTGGACTTAGATCTAATATCAATGACCCCATGTCTTACTCTGAAGAAATACTGAATACAGCATACGGTCAATATCTGCATTTTTGCTTACAAAATTTTCCATTTAAAAAAGAATTGTTTAGCGCAATTTCATATCTTAGTTATGATAAAAATGATTAAACACATTTTATTAAAAGATTAAAATTGAATTTGATTTTAATACAAAAAAGCCAGAGAAATTACTAGGAATACATGTATTTTCTATGTTCTTACATTACACTATTCCATAATGGTATTGTTCCGCTGTTATAACTGTACATTAACAATGATTGCTATTTCATCAATAGTACATATAATGGGAAAGTAATGATGATTAGAAATTCTGGAGAGAAACAATGGTCTCTCTGGTTGACCCAAGTCTTCCGTTTATTTAGGTGTGTAGTTTTGATTAGGCCTTTTCTTGTCAGTAAAGTATCTTTCAATTCTGTTATGAAATCATCAGTTTAAAACATCGGAAAATTAGTTGCTTTCAAAGTATATACGACATTTTGACATAAATGTCGATAAATGCCACAACCAACGAATGCTGAATTCTCCAGAGATATTGCATATTCATAGATTTATCAAACACTTTAGCCTATGGAACGCCATAGCTGCCTTGTGTGGTAGAATATGGTGCTTTTTTTTATATTATGCTGTGGTTACTTCATGTGAAGATGGTGTTTTATTATGTTATGCTGTGATTATTTTGTGTGAAGGTGGTGCTTTTTTTTATTATGCTGTAGGTGGTATTTATGTGAAGGTGGTTTTTTATGTTATGCCGTGGTTATTGCATGTGAAGGTTGTTTTTTTTATGTTATGCTGATGTTTTTTATGTGAAGGTGTTTTTTTTATATTTTATGTGAAGGTGGTCACTCGGAACTCCTCACATTTTTCAAGACTGAGTTTAACAGCCATTATCACGAAATTTTGAAACTAAAACAAATAGTCGATGTTATTAAAATCATTTTAATACTCCATTGCTAGTTCCTCTTTTTTTTTTATACATAGGCGCTTAGTTTCAGGATGGTATATTTTGTCTACATGTATTATGTTTTTTCTAGGTGTGTCTGAATAAACTCGATAAAATAAAAATAAAAAAAAAAAGAATCACTGAAATTAGCACGTTTTTAAAATGTCATATTATTGTATATAAAAAAAAAGATTGAAGGTACGACAGTTGCACCTCACATGAAATAACCACAGCATAACATAATAAAGCACCATCTTCACATGTAATAACCACAGCATAACATTATAAAGCACCATCTTTACATGAAATAACCACAGCATAACATAATAAAGCACCATCTTCTCATGAAATAACCACAGCATAACATAATAAAGCACCGTCTTCTCATGAAATACTGTATAGGGGATTAATTTCACGGGTTGTAATTTTCACGTTTTTCTCTAATCGGACACGATCGCGGTTTGTTGAATTCGCGGAATCGGTGTATAATTAAAGTTACCTACCTTGTCTTTATCCGTGTAATCCATAGCTAGTATAGCAAGAACGACATTTATCAGCGTTATGTATTTACTTCATGAACAACAGGGTAGGTTTATATGAAATGATTAGATTTAGTAGTTAATTGATGATTAATCAAAACAAGTGCCGTTATTAAATTTTTTTTACTATAAACGTCAAATGACTTTCCTATATGCTTTTACGATGAGTGTATGTGTACACATCTTTCCGAAGGTATACACATCACAGCGAGAAAAAAAACCTGGACGCTAATAAATGTATTAAATGTAGGTAGACGTAAAAATGTCCTTCCATATCTTCAGCAAGTTCGATAGTTATTCGAATGATATTTTTTTAATCCAAAATTTCCATAAAAACTAGTACGCATAATGCTAATGCAGGTAACACATACACATGGTAACGTTACGCACGGGTAATCAAAACCCATGACCCATGTGTTTTAATTGATGAAACGTGTATCTATTAAAACAGCTTTTTAACAATAAATACAGGTTTTATCTGCTTATTTGAATGAAAGTAAAGCGTGATATTTAAGATAATTGAATGGCAAGTACTACTAGTAATTACTGAATGACCATGTACGTACATGTATATATACCTATTGTAGTCTAATCTCAAATTTCCAAATTAAACATTGAGGTTTAATATTTAAATCTTATTCGCTGTTTCTTGAATTCACGGATTTATTAACACCTTGAATATAGCGAATATTAACACCGCGAGTTATTTTCCCCCTATACAGTAACCACAGATTAACATAAAAAAGCACCATCTTCACATGAAATAGCCACAGCACAACATAATAAAACACCATCTTCTCATGAAATAACCACATAAGGCTGCTATGGCGTTCCATAGTAGTCTTTGAGGTCAATGTCTTCAGTGTAGGTACATTGTGTCAGCTTATGGAGGGGAACAGAGTGGCACTAGTGTTAAGTTGTTCCCAAGCTGAAATTTGAATTAATCAGTGTGAA